GTGGGGGGGGGGCGTTCGAGGTGACGTGGTTCCTGGCGTCACAACTGCTGGAGGATTCAGTCTCTCTCTCTCTCACCTTAGGCAATGAGGTACATATTGCAGCAAATATAATCTGATGTATTTTATAAACTAATTAATTAAAAATATAAAATTCCTCCTTTTCTTAATAAATAACAAAAATCCTTTTCAAAATACATGATAGTATAGAAATCTCTCCTCTTTTAATAAATAATAAAAATTTGTATAAATTCACATTCGTGATTCCATTACAATGTACAATTTTCCGGTGAAAGAATCCATGAGGCCTCTACTGCGTCAACCAGCTTAAATAATACTGTACTCCACTATACTGTGCAGGTAAAGTATTCTGTACATGACCGCACTATGCTATTGTTTTATGAAATATTTATAAGTAAAAGGCTTTAGGTGATCCAACCGGTAAGGTTAAGCGGTGTACCAGAAATATGAAAAACCAAAACATATTTAAATTTTTAACCTCTTAAACCGATGTACGGGTTTATAATATGAAATAATCACTGTGTAAAAATCTTCCCCCACTTCATTTTTCCCAAAGCAATTTTAAAGTTTTGGCTCTATCAAGGAGTTGCAGAACTTTCATGACAAAATATTCATCGAAAATGTTCCAAAATAAACCGCGTAGTGTTTATACAGAATCATGTAACATAACACAGGATACTCTAGAACTATTCATTAAAATACCATAGTGATATTTAATAGGCCTATAACAGTATCAAAATGTAATCACTATAATTTAGGTCTCCTGTAAGCAATGTTTATATACCAAGAATGAGTCAATCTATCCCATGAGATTCTGTACAGCATTTGTGAGGTGAGACCGTTGGTAGGTGGTCAAATGGGCCAAACTTTCCCTACCCTATTTTACCCCATCCAAACCGAACCACAATAGGACCCCTCAGTGTTATGTTACACTGTGTCTAATAGGATGGGAACCCAATTAACTAATCACACCACCAGTTTAGAAATACCCAATTGTTTTTATTACACATTATTGGTAAAAAGTAGATTTGTTTATGATGGGTAACTGAGTAATATATGTGGAAGAAATTGTGATGAAATACTAACTTATAATATTATCCAAGTCTATAATATAATAAAACTTACTTATAGGCCTAGTTAGTGTAATAATTTGACCACTTACAGGTAAGTGGATAATGTACTTCTACTTATTTCATTATAATTCTTGTCTAACATGTATAGTATAGTATATACTATACGGTCTTCACACTACTATCAACCCTGAACTATTTTTCTATTTATTATCCTTCTCAATATATATATTCCGACTCAATACCAAGAACTCATTAAAGTAATATTATATCATATAATCCGCTAGACTTTCCATCACTCGTAATTCACCTTGCTGATATGCCATATATATATATATATAATCAAACTAAATCGGATTTTCTCTTTCAAATATCATGTGACTGTTCCAGCATTCACCGGCTATCCCAAAACCTGAGCCAATTTCTGATCTCTCCTAGTACTGCATACCTCACATCACACTCGCCGCCACTGCCCCTGCCCTTAGCTTACGTAAATACAGCTGCAACTTAACCATTCATAAATTATTAATCTTGCACTGGCATTAAAACGCATGTCTACGTGTACTTTCGACAATCTTTAATCACAGGAATCGTTTGACTAAATCATCTGAAAGAGAAGTTGCAAATAATCTAAACTAATTCCTTTGGGTTAGGCTAATACCGCGCTCACACAGGCCAACTACCTACGGGATCAAACAGTTACTTCAAACATCACATTTATCGTGTATCTATATCTTCACTTCAAAATTAGACCTTCAAAAATATTCTTCCTAAGTTGAATATCGAACAACTGGTATGACAAGTTTGAACCATTAAAGGATTCAGAATTGCCATGACACACACACACACACACTACAAAGGTCACCTCTACAGTACACACAAACACACTAAGAAAAACAGTATGGTATAGAGCCAACACAACTGGTATTTTAATCTAACAATGAAGACAACAAGAACCAGACTTGAGAGGCTGAGTAGAATCCCTCCCTAGATACAACATAATCAGGAAAAGGACATGAGAACCCCCATCGCTGCTATAGCTAAGTACAAGAAAAGCCCCGGGCGATAAGTAAGGAAGATTGCCTGCCACTACAGCACCTCTGAACACACTAAACAAAGAATTCTTCCGCCCCTCTCCACCGCTAGCCTACGTGAGCTGTCTCCAAGGCTGAGGCTCAATGAATTTATTTTGGTCTTCAGTCGCCACGGTGAACCTGTTTCATCTTACTGGGAAAGTTGGGAAAGGACTAATGTAAGATACAATAGTTAAATGTATAAACCAGGAATAAGTACTGGTAGTAATGTGACCGATAGATTACCCATTTAAAAAGGTGAGAATATTGGAACCAGTTATCGTAAACAAACAGATACCGTATATATTATCCCATCATTAAAAAAGTTATTTATATCGGAATAAATCATCCAATATTTTAAATACACTGTTGCCGTACCTTCAGGATTTTTTTTTAGTAATTCAGTATAGTTTATAATACTCACAAAAATATACAGTACCTAAATGTAAAGTATACATATAAACTCAGCACTTAAAATTTTAATACTAAAGATCTATACAATGTTACAAACGTAAGGCAACACAAATCATCGAAGCTAAATACCGGGAATTTAATACTGTAGTAAGTAAAACATTTTCTAGACGTTCCGAGACATTAACGAATTGTTTTTGTACTCAAGTCTTTTCGCAGGAACTTTAATAATGAAGAATGCATTTAGGAACATTGTCCACATTATATTAGTCAACAAATCTATGTATAAATCCGAACGAAACGCAATTGGATATGGAGTGAAAATATAAAATAAACCGTAACACTAAAGACTATTAGGCTTTGAATTCAGCTACGGTACGATAACAACTCTAACTAATAAACAGCACTGAGAGAGGCCATCAGTTCCTGTAATGGTGTACAAGGAGGAATGAACCGCACATAATATCCACTAATAGTGATGCCAACTGACAACCAAACGGAGCGGAAAGAGGAAATGGAAACCCAATAATTGTAGCGATATATATTACAGAAAGGGATCAGGTGGGAGGGGAAAAGATAAGGCACGAGAACTCCATTTTAACCCTAAAAGATAATGTTAAGTTGCTGCTACTGGGCCAGAGTCCGCCCCTTCTCGCTTATATTTGTACTGTACATTGGCCCTTTGACTGAAGCAACGACATTTAATTTAACCTAGAGATTTGATGTTTGTGCTGAAGCCACTTCATAAAATTATACACAGGCCACCATCCCCCCCCCTCCCAAAAAAAATCGATTAAATGGCATTCGTCTTAAAAGCAATAATAATTTTAAGAACTTGTATGTATTACAAGTAAACAACAACTACATATAACAGAAACATCACATAAACAAAACTACAGCAGAAAAAAAAGATTATCAACTTATCCTTGACGATTTTCAGGACATCAACCACTTCTTAAATACAGCAAACGAATACCTGAACACAGCAACATTTCAAGTGCCACCTATCAAAATAAGTTTTCATTGACTCATAAATATACTGCAGTGCACCCTAAAAACACATAATGATGTAAACTAACGGGTTTCTAAAGCATATACTAAATACACTAGAATATTTTCAGCTGTATAAGTCCAGGGAATGGCGTGTTTACATTCAACAAGCGCCTACCAGATGTGGGAGACGTCGCCGCGTAACTAAGTACCAATGACACTACTTATGCCCTTGTAAGTTGGCTGATGTTTATCTTAGTAGTACAGTATCGCCAGATCTACGATATATCGAGGCATAGTCACATTTCTTTCCTCAAATCTCAGGACATTAATCGGCGGCAGTATCCCAAAGTTTTCCAGTTCCCGGAGATTTTTATATCCCCCCCCCCAGATTAGCTATCATTCGGTGTCGTGACATTTCTCATGAGGGGGCCCCCATGCCGGCCCTAGGATGGGTATGGATGTCCTAATTTATTATCAGCTGAGCCGAACATGCGGTGGTCAGGTCTCCTGGAGCGCATGGAATGTTTCAAGTGACCCAGACTCACTCTCCTCCATCTCCTGCCTCTCAAACACCCCCTCCATCTTCCTCCTACCAAGCCCACTCCAACCTCTCTTAGGCTAATACCACTCCATCTTTCCCTCTCTACCTTCCCCTGTAGGGTCTACTCCATCCTTCCCCGTTAGTCTCTCTCCTTCACCGGACCAACCCCTCTCTAACTATCCCTGTCGGGCTCCACTCCATCCTTTAGACATTAGATGGCATTAAAGGAAACGCGATAACTCCTAAGAATAACCTTCGGTATTGAACTTAGGTGGATTCCCACCCATGTTGGAATTAGGAATCATGATCGTGTAGAACTTGAATTGAATTGAAACAGTTTATTTAGCAAGAAAAACACAGATACAGAGTGGATAATAATAACAATATTAACATGGCTGAGCCAGTTGAGAACCTGAGCTCTCCTGTAGGCACCTGATATACACTGTACAATTATCCCAAGGAAGTATTATGTAACATTTAGAAACATCTAGAATAGTACACATAGAATGGTGGTAATAAGAACATCTCAGAATGTTACTACGATTATCACTTCAATATTTATTTAAGTATTTTTTTTAGATAGACTGGCCAATGAGGCATGTAACAAAGAAACTGTAGACCGGGACCTTGACCTGTCCAATACTGTACTTTAAAACATACAGTACAAGTCAAAATCATGAACTCTGATCTAGAAGAACTGAAAAATGCACAGAGACCTGGTAGTTGTAGCATTAGTAAATACTGGGTGCTACTATAGCGTGCGGTCTACGGGATATTTAAGTTAGGTTATACTAAAGATGTCTTTGTAGACCGCACGCTATAGTAGCACCCAAACACAGATCCTTCACCTGCAAGAACCCCCCTGCCCTCCCCTTCGTCCCCTCACCTAACCTACATCTTTTACTTAGTTCTCTCCTCCTCCCTGCCTAACCCTACTCCGTTTTTCTCCTTCCTACCAAAACCCAATACAATCTTTCTGTACCTTCTCAATCACCCTACCTGAACCAAAAGGATTGTATACGGCAGCCATCACAATAAAAATACTGTAGGGTCTGTAGGGTAATCAGCATTAAATCTGTAATTGTACAAACATGTTCTAGCTAAATTATCTGTTACACTATATTCATAAAGGTAAATGGTAAATTTTGGCCTCAGATACAGCAAATATCACTGACGTTTTACTTGAAGGTGTAACAGTAGATGGCGTTCTGTTGTGAAAGATTTCAATCAATTCTGTGCTTAACTCAAAAACAATAATGCAGATAATGGTACTTCAATAGCGTGTATCAAGTGGTAAGCTAGTGATGTTTACTGTGCAACATAATCAATAAGAAAAAGATAAACTACGGAATGTAAATGGTGTTTATTTGTACGTTAAAAATCTTTAATTTCAAAGATCCAAAGGAAGTTATTTCCAAGTATGCATATATCTATCTAGTTGGCTAAATGGGGTGAAATAGCTTACTGAACATAAAAAAAATGGAGCTTACTGATCAATCGCAACGGGGAAGGGACGTGAGTATACATTAGCTTTGTTTGAATGTGGGACAGTGTGGATAGCTTGGCGATTACCCTGGGATATGTTGACACAACTATGGGCGGGTTGGCCTTACCTTCAACATTCTCGGTGGCCAAAATGACGATAGTCTTGATGGCAGGGAAGGCCCAGGCCGCAAGGTGGAACCAAGCAGAGTTGTTCTCGATGGCTTCGTGGCTCCACTTGAGTCCTGCCGCCAAGAACCAGGTGAGCGTGAGCACCACCCACCAGATGGAGGCTGCCATGGAGAAGAAGTAGAGTGTCATGAAGACGATAGTGCACCACTGACGTTCCACACCCTGGGTGATGGTTCGCACCATCTGGTCCCTCAGCTCCGGCAGGTGCTTAGGAGGGTCCCAGGGGTCGTCGCAGGCCACACGGTCCCCCTGCACCAGCCCCACGACGTAGGTGGCCGCGATGAACCAGTAACACATGCTGATGAAGATGATGGGTCGCTCAGGGTAGCGGAAGCGACGCACATCGGCCAGGAAGGAGGCGACAGTGAAGGTAGTGGATACCAAGCACACGGCGGCCCACCACCCCACCCAGTGACGTGAGAACTGGAGGTCCTCCTCGTTGAAGAACATGCCGCTACAGGGCGAGCCGCAGTTCTCCACCTCCACCCCGCCCACCCGCAGCTTATACTTCTTTTTCTTGGGCACTCTGAAGTGATGAGGACACTGGAAGTCCTTTCCGGCATACTGAGGGCCGAGTGGAGGAGGCAGGTCTGGACCTGATACAGGGAAAGAGGAAGCTGGCGGGGAGGTGCTGTTCTCCCCTACACACAGCTCCTCGTGAGGACCTGCCGGAAACTTGTTACAATCTAGGGATTCTGGCCACTGAAACCCGAATTTGTTCATGAGGTCCTCGCAGCCGTCCTTGGCGGAGAGACAGAGATGGCGGCAGGGAGGCAACGGTCTGTCCAGGATAGTGCACACAGGCACGTACACGCTACAAAGAAAGAAGTGCAGGTCCTGCGAGCACTGCACCTTCACCAGCGGGAAGAACTGATGCACTTCCATGCCCGCCTCCTCCTGCGTGTGATGGTTGAGAAGGTTAGGCATGATGGTGGTGTTGTATTGTATGTCCTTACACAGCCTGATAGTGATGGGTTCACAGCGGTTGTGTCTCGGCAGCATGTCATGGTCAGAGATGTGTTCAACTCGCCCCGAGCCCAACCTCGTCCCCGCTCCTCGCCCAGCACCGCCTCCACCTCCTGCAGTCATCTGGGCCGCACACAGCGTGGCCCCGAGCAGCAGCAGCAGCAGCAGCAGCCTGGAGGAGGGTGCAGCTGTAAGCCGCTGAGACGCTAGCCTCCTCACAGTGACCGACACCGCCATGCTGTGAACTCACTCTCCAATATCTCACTCCACGCACACCTTCGATTCCTTCCACTCCAGAACACTGATCTTCCTTCTCTAAATTATTCGAACATATCAACATTATCCAAAGTATAAGGGGACCACACACGCTTCAGCACCAGAGGGCTGCACACCCCTTGCTCCACTAGGTTCGTATGGCAACTGAAGTCCCTGTTGTTATTTTCCCGAGCACAGACCCCGGGGTTGCCATTTTGGAATATAGTATTTCACACTTAACCTTCTATGGGCTCTCCTACGAAGTTTATTCTTATCATAATAGCATAAAAATTCCATTAAATCGTCATATTTAATAAAATCTTAAGAAAATCTGCATATATATATTTCTACGATACTCTATGGAAAAAATACACGATGAGGCACTTTACGCAAGATTCTCCATTCAACACTCTGTCAGCCATTGGGTGGCTATGCCGAAACGATATGCGCTGGACCTGGCGATTGGTTAGTTACCACACGAGGGCCAATAGTTGCTCATAGAAGAAAAATGTTCTTGGCGCTCAAGTTAAATCCCATGAGAGAATGTTCTTCGCCAACTTACAGCCATAATGACCCCAGTAGTTGACAGTACAACAATCAGCGAACCTGTGTCATATTGTACTTACAGAGTTCCATCTCATAATTTTTAATGTTATTGAACTAGTGTATTATTAACTTTGTTACGTGCTTAAAGACCTCCGTCGTAAAGCGCAGAAATAACAATATAGCAGCGTAAGAACATGGTGTATCTACCCTGAATCGGTTTGTTTATCTATCCATCTGGCTATATTTCTGCCGGTCTGTATAGTGTGTTACCACTTACATCTAATACCATTACTGCCTTATTGTCTCATTAGTTCCATTATATCGACTCGTGTAAATAAGAGCAAACAGTAGCAGCTGGTTCAACATGCATGAAAAATAACAATACAGCAATAATATCACAATCACTGTACAATGTAATGTTTGTTATATTCAACCACAAACTTTGTAGTTACTTATACTAATTACTTCCAGGACCCTACTGGAAATAAGCATATGTTGGCTTTATCGATTATCCTTGGTCGAAGAATTGCCTAGTCTTTTTACCATTGTAAACCTACACTGTCTGTGTACATTGTATACTCACACTGTTTATAGACATGCTGAATTATAATGTACCTGCATTGTCTATAGTAGTAGGTAGTAGGCAGCTACCAAACAGGGAGGTACTACCGCCTGGGAAGATATTGGAAGCATAATGTAATGTCTTGGGGTACTGGTGGTAGAGTGGTACCGTTCTTGCCTTCGCAAGCCAGATGTCACGGGTTCGATTCCCGGGCCGGTGGAAGTTGTTTGGACTTACTTCCTAGCCCCCATTAGTCCCTGTTCACCTAGCAGTACAGTAGGTACCTGGTGTAAGGCGAAAGTTGCGAATTCGTATTCAGGGACAAGTTGTTGGAGCTTCCAATAACTTGAGGACATAAACCATTGACTCTTCAGCATGAACTTAGCATGCTTCCCTGTTGGGCGCTGTAAACGCTTCTGCACTTCACCTTACACAGGGATGTAGGGGGTGCCCAATAAATAATACTAAAAAAAAAGTATTGTCTAATGGTAGACCCTGCTGCCCTATGGCATCACGAAAATTGTGACCAAGTCCCAGGTTGCTCATCTGTCTTTCTGCCTCATTTACACACAATTGCAGGGTCTCAATTGTTTCTCTTACTATTGACAACACAACATACATATATCGTTTCACACTTTTGATCTTTTTTTGTATTTCTTTATTATTATTATTATTATTACAGTGGTTATTATTTTTATCATTTTATTATTTTGTATTATAAATTTTATTGACTATGAATCATTATTATTATTATTATTATTATTACATTTTCGCCCCCCAGGCCCCGATGTGGGTCAGTGACCTGTGCCCAGGTGCGCTAATTCCCTTAAAAAAAACTGTACCTGCATTGTCTATATACATGCTGAATCAACAAACTTATTTGATGATTTTAATGAATATATATCAATTTATATATATATATATATATATATATATATATATATATATATATATATATATATATATATACTTAACCCAGAGACAGGGTAGCATGGTGGACTCAGTTGACCTGGGCAACCTATCACTGCTTGCCAGGGTTGGGTCCACCTTATTGTCAGGCCACTATGGTGCCAAAGAATACTACCAGCTGTGTCTGTGTCCTACGCTACACTACAGATTTCCTCAAGAACTCTGGTAAGCTCAATAAAAGAATTTCCATGATTGACGAGATGAATGAAGTCAAACTGTGATGCAGTCACCGTATTACAGAATGTATATAGAATCTTTGGAAAGAAACCAGAGGAGAATGACAAGACTAATCCCGGGCATTAGGAACCTTGAATACAGAGACAGGTTAAAGCATCTTAATTTGCACTCCCTCGAGACGTAGAGTGAGGGGCGATATGATAGAGGTGTATAAATGGAAGTCAGGGTTAAACAAAGGGGACATTACAAAGGTACTCAAACTATACAACCAGGAGCGAACTCGTAACAATGGTTTTAAATTAGACAAATTTAGATTTCGGCGTGAAATAGGTAAACACTGGTTTGAAAACAGAGTAGTGGATGAATGGAACAAGTTACCAAATATCATCACTAACTCGAATACGCTGGATAGCTTCAAACATAGGTTGGATGCTTATATGAGCAATAGGGGTTGGGTATAAACGGGACTGTCCAGTATGGGTCAATAGGCCCGCTGCAGTTTCCTCCATTCTTATGTTCTTATCAATATCCTTACTCGACTCGTCCTCTTTGGCAAGCACCAGGAGTGACCACACGGAGAAGGCAAGCAATACCAAACCTCTATTGATCTATTCGTTCAGATTGTAATCTTCAAGAAGCTTCGGCATCTCAAATCATACTTGCGCAGCAGCCTACAGTGACACATCAACGTCTGACTGGCCTGGCTGGCCCTCCTCCACCTCCACCATAAATATTGACAAAGTGATAAGAGACTTTGATGCCACAGTTCACCACGAATCATCTTTCTAATGAGTGATGGAGACCAATATTTTGAATTATATGTAAAATTAATTATGGATTGTGTAAATATATATTTTTATAGCAACTATTAGCTTATTTTCAAATTATTCCTTGCAATGATTTACAAAATTTAAAGCAAGTTTATGAAGGGGGCAATATTTGAGCTGAGGGAAGGTGAATGTGTTGTATCTGAACTGTTCCTATTACTACGAGGATAACTCTCCAGACTAAACTCAGATATGCTATGATAACTGATACAGTATTAGGTTTTCAACCATAATGAAAAGAGGAAAATATGTGGGTAGATATTTCCTTTGTGGGGTCCCATTGTAAGCAGTGTTTGTGTGTATAAACTTATATTCTTTGTTATGTGTGTATGGATAATAATAATAATAATTAACTCGCATATATTAATGTTATTGTGTTCGTGTATAACTTGAAAAAAGAAGTAACACTACTGGTACTAGTGTCGACCTCTGCCACACTGTAACTATATAACAAGAGGTTAGAGGAGCGTCGTCAAGCGATACATCCTGCAGCTGCGGCGCGGCAACTACACACAAACCAACTAATCCACCCAGTTTTTCTCTAATAAAATTTCACATCCAACTCTCTACTTCGTTGTAAACTCCTCTAGATTGGGTACCGTAGATGTGATAATATGAATACGATTTGCTTTTCGTTTGAAGAGACCAATTTACGTTGATTCGTAAAAAAAGAAAAAAAAATAGTGTTTCCTAGCCTTTAATACTGTATACAGTATTTCTTATTATTTTGCGGGGAAATATCACGAAAACAAAGTATCCATAACACTATGAAATGTATGTGAATTTACCGTTCCGTTTGATGATTTAATGAGCATAGGAAGGGTACAGAAAGAATAATATAAAACACATTCCCGTAATTGGCAACTGCATCAAGAGTAAAGGATACCAACTGGCTGAGGCTCCAGAGCGTGGGAGCCAGTTAGTCCTTGTGAGGATATTACGGATTAGAGTCCTGCGCTGCTCCTGGCGGGGCCCCATTGCACTCTGTCTTTAAAAGCATAGAGAGTACTACAAAGTTTCACAATGCCTAGGAGAGGAGGGCCAACGTTAGGCCGTGCACTCTCCTCATCGCTGTGGTGGGCGTCACTACTTTTGCTAGACATGGGGTGTATAGCGGCACCAGACTGGGATATTTGGAGGGTAATTACACAACCCACTGCCCCAGATGCCTCTCACTGTGAGCCCATCACTATCCCCCTGTGTAAAACTGACCAAATCCCCTACAACACCACCACCACCATGCCACACAGCCTCAGGCGCCACGACACACAAGAGGAGGCCGGTATGGAAGTTCACCAGTTCTTTCCGTTGGTGGAAATCCAATGCTCACCGGATTTGAATTTGTTCTTATGTAGTGTGTACGTTCCCCCATGCCCAGTCACCCCAGGAAACATAGTGCCTCCTTGTAGAAGCCTTTGTCTGTCAGCTAAGGCGGGTTGTGACACGCTTATGTCTATATATGGTTTCCAGTGGCCGCAGTTCCTGAGCTGTGACAAGTTCCCAGATGGTTCAGAAGATATGTGTATTGGAAATGGTTCCTCCACTGCTGAGCCTCAAGACTCACTCTTAACAAGTAATGATACTGATGTGACGGGCAGTAGCACACAAAGTCAGCAAAACCACACTGTCATTCACAACGAGAATAAACAACGTGAAAGAGAAAGCGTCAACCAGACTCAGCAAGATCAGTGCGAGAACATCAGACTGCCGCTGTGTAGTGACCTGCCTTACACGAGCACCCGCCTGCCTAACCTCCTCCACCACCGCACTCAAGAGGAGGCCACCTCAATGATGCACCTGCTGAGGGTGGCGATCATGACCCAGTGTTCTCCAGATCTTCGACTTCTCGTGTGTGCCATCATCGTGCCACCATGTACCCACCAGCAGGAGGAGAGGCTACCGTGCCGCGAGCTGTGTTTCTCCGTTAACTCCGGTTGTGCGGAACTCATGCAAATGTTTGGCATTCAGTGGCCCTCCACACTAGACTGTAACATGCTACCTTCAGGCCACCACGAGAGATGCATTGGGGCAAATATCACCGATTTTTCAGTGGTCACAGAAGCTACAGCTAACCCCGAACAGTTCGTGATTTACGAAGGAGAAAGTATTTCCACCACAGAGTTGCAGCCTGTGCCAAACAAATGTGAAAGGATAACCATACCTACCTGTCAGGACCTTCAATACAACGACACTATCATGCCGAACGCCTTCAACCACAGCTCCCAGGAAGAAGCACAACTGGAATTGGACCAGTTCTTGCCGCTAATAGAGAGCAAGTGTTCAACTAATCTGCAGCTCTTCTTGTGTAGGTTGTTTGTACCAGTGTGCACCCCCATGGAGACATCGCTACTACCTTGTAGAAATCTGTGTCTCTCTGTCGAGGCCGAGTGTGGCTCTGCATTTTATGCACACGGTTCTGCCCAGCCCGTTAAATGTGAGGACCTTGACGATGAGTTGTGCCTGGGGTCTTTCGAGTCCTTGGCTGGTGAACTAGTGCCCTCAACTCCTATGAGTGTCTCTCCAAGGTCGACTACACCTCTTGTGATACACCAACACGTTCCAGAAGGGGGACGCTGTGAATACACCACCTCCAATTTCTGTGTGGATCTATATAACACCACCATCGTACCAAACTTACTTGAACACATATCCCAGGAGGATGCCGCATTGGAAATGCATTCGTTCATGCCCCTAACGCAAATAAAGTGTTCCTCTGACATACTTGCATTCCTCTGCAGTGTCTACATTCCCCCGTGTACATCTTTGGAGCAGCCAGTGCCCCCATGTCGCAGCTTCTGCTATTCTGCCATGGATGGTTGCATTGATGCCTTGAACAGTTTTGGCTTTCAGTGGCCCGAATTTCTGAACTGTGACAGATTCCCAATTGATGATGGGAATGAAGTATGCATCGATGCCAGCTTGTTGCAGCAATCTTTAAACAGTGACCTGGATGCTGTAGATGACTCGACACCATTAACTACAGAACAAAACACAACTCCACCTCCTACTGTCAACACAGGACTCCAAATTTCCTCCAAAAGATGTGAAGACATCACAGCATTCCATTGTCTTGACATACCCTACAACTCCACCTTGATGCCCAACCTACTCAACCACATGACTCAGGATGTGGCCAACATGCAACTATCACGATTTTACCCACTAGTAAAGGCTCAGTGCTCTCCAAACCTGCAGCTGTTCTTGTGTATGGTGTACATCCCTGTTTGCACCATCATCGAGAAGCCTATACCTCCCTGTCGTGATCTCTGTCTATCTGCCAGGATGGGCTGTGAAGGCCTCATGATCAAGTTTGGGTTTCAGTGGCCAGCGGATCTCGCCTGCGACCATTTTCCGGAGGATCCCAGTGTCGAGTTGTGTGTTTCCTACTAGTGAGGAAACTGACCATGAAGGATAATAGTGAGCATGCATCTAAATGGCTCATTTAAAAATTAATTCCTAAAGCTTGGTAAGGTGCCATTGTAGCATGCAGTTTACAAAGAAATCTTTAGTCTAACCTAACGATAAAGTAGAACTGGTAATTTTTCAGTGGGAACATATATAACTGGTTAACTTGTCCTATGATGCAACAATGGCTGTCAAAATAACAACAAAATTAACCCCTAGACGTGACGTGACCAATCGCCCAAGCGGCTAATGAGCCGATGAGTGGTGAAGAGGATAAAACAAACAAATAGATTAATTTTTTTTATCTGCAATCTCAAGGTATGGAGGAAAATAAAATGGTGACTGTGACTCCTAACTGAAGATTTCACTAATTTAATATAATACTAATATACTGTATGTTGATTCTAATTGGCATTTATGTATTGTAATTACTTAAAAATTTCTATACTATGGCACTGGTATTTTTTCTTGTATCTGTAATTGTCCTTTGTACTTGTGTCTATACCTGTACTTGTATCTGTCTCTGCACTTATAAGTCTGAGTACCAGCCTTTTTATTTAATAATACATTCTCAATACCCTGAAGTTACTGCAAATGAAGGCTCTATAAGGCAAGCAGAACAGCTTGTGTTAATTGTAAACTTTTGCTATACTGTATGTCAATGACAGTGCTCTTTGAGTGTCGTGTAAAGATCCAAATGATACAGCTAATGAGTTATTATCTGAGCTGGAGTTGTGGAAATAGAAGGCTAAAAGGGAAAACGAATTCATTGTACAATGTGGGAATGAACCATCTCAACTGTAACTTCAGTGAAACACCTTGGACTAACTCTTGACTCTTGTTTGTCTGCTGAATTAATCGTAGATAATATAATTACAAAAAAAGTACAATAATGCCAAAATAAAATTTCTCTATAGAAATACTAAATGCCTATCAGCTCTGATGCTCGTAGGACCCTTTGCTTGGCGCTCATACAATGTCACTTGGATTATTCCTGCTCATCATGGTAATAATAATAATAAAAGTTGCTGGTCTTTTGTTTCTCAAAAGCACCAGTTCTTCTAAAGAATTCACTAGCACTCAAAACACTATAAAGTCAAAGGCTTGAACATAAAAAAATAAATGTTGCACTACAATAACATCACAAAAAATTACAGTTCAACTTTTATCATTCCTATACCCTTATGTTTTAATACTTCCTAAACCCACCTTACCCTGTTAAGGATCATAAGCTTTCAAAAAACGAAAGGTCTTAAGTTATTTCTTAAAAACCTCCACAGTAGTCAGCTGCTTCATGAATGCAGGCAACCAATTATACAATGTGAGTGACGTACTGTATAGGAAAAAGATTGGGCAGTAAAAGCCCATGTGCCCATGTTGGTGAAGTCTGGTTTTAATAAGCTCACTTTTGGTGCCAACAACATTCTCTGGCAGGGGAGACCTGTTGGAAAAAGATGAGGTACTGTCTTGGTATTTCAGTGACCATTTTCTTGTATATTTTTTTTTTTTTTTAGATACACTGACGACAACCTTAGCTTTACATCCTCTCAATATCAAAACTGATTTTGTGTTGTTTACTGTCTGTGTGTGCTGAATTTATTTTACTACTAAAGTCTTAAGTTCCTAAATACAGTACGAGCATTGAGCAGAACATGTCTAGAAATGTTATACAGCATAAACTTTCATAAATATGTATTTTTAGTTAATGTATATAAATACATTTAAGTACAAGTATGTTTAAATCCATTTACACATGCAGCTTCCCAATACTTTGGCATAAGATCTTCATTTCAATAATAGATTTCATCTGTGGAGTTTCAGGCCTGGAAATTCAAAAAAGGATTCTATAGTCAAAAGGGAGAAGGGGCACAGCACAGTGGCCATGGACCCTTTTTGTTTTTGCAATGATGGCTAAGGCTGCCATGAAATTCCAAGCCTGGAGTTTGTGCCACGAATAATTTATATTCTCCATTTATTTCCAAGCAAATTGAAGTCATGAATTTAATATATTCAGCATAGACTAAAAAAAAAAAAAATAAATAAATATAAACACATGAACATTATTTTAAAGACATGGATTCTACTAGACCCGAGAGTCACATGCTACAGTGTTGCTGAATATGAGAAAAAAGAAGTAATGTATAAAATAAAAAGGCCTAAGATAAAAAACATTCATTATATATGTGGCTCGGCATAATCTTGGTTTACTTAAGTACAAAAATGCATTTTTGCATTAGTGACATTACAGAATAATTGTATTGGTAATTGTGTATAATTAAATGTGTTCAACATGACTATTTTATACAGCACAGGAATGATGTCACAAGTAATGATCAGGACCCAGCACAGTACAACTCTTCCATGAGGGGAGAAATTGCCTTCAGCTAAAGTTATACACTGAATGTTGTATTAAAATTTAGGCCACCATATAACTGTTCACATTGTGAGCTTGTACAAAGACGACACTCCATAAAGACAATTGCGAGGACGTGCAACCTGGCACAAGCTCTCCACAATACATTTTTCAAATAACATTTTAGAAATGAATGATACCACAGACAATATACTTCTAGTCCTTTCAGTAAAGAATGCCCCAGAGTATGGCACGTTCAGAAAGTTGAATACAATGTTCAGATGAACAATACAGAGAAAAGTGGTTTGTAACAAACTCATTGCCCACTCAAACAGTTGCTCCACATCTGCCCAGTATAAAAATTATTAATGTTCACTTTATCTAATATTTAATACAGAACCAGTATTTTTTCTAAGAGTTTTAAATATCTGGAATACAGCTTAGCTTGGTGTGAATGTGTAGCCACTTTACTCAGAACCTTCTCAACAACTCATTGTGTATCACAGTCTGGCAAAAGTGAACTTAGTAAAATCCACATTGTGCTATGATCTGACAGACCAGCCTCACGGCTTCTTTAAGTAAGATAACTAGTTATTCCATAAAATTAATTTTATCATATCTAATGGATAAAAGTTTTTATATTTTGTAATACTAATTTACATAAATTTACAATATTAACAATAAGTCAATTTTTCACATTATGTAAGTGAGTGGCCAAACCATGATGCCTCCACATAACATGTCCAATCTTCACTTCACTTGACAAATATACTTGAGACCACTTGAATATACTTGAGACCACTTGAAAATTTTTCATGTATCGGATGGCTCAGTGATCACCCTCAGGTGTCAATTATCATTACCAAATTGCATCCAATTTGTAAATCACTTTTAACCATCTTAAAATTGACAACCCAAAATGTTTTTACAAAATATCATGTGACTGAGAGCCACTTGTATATTCTTGTTATCTATCACATAACATGTAACAAAACTTCACATATCAACCATTGCTACTTTCATATTATAACATAAATATCACCTCTAAGTAATTTAGCAGCTATGACTGATGATACAAGTAGATCTTTTATTCTGAGCAATTATATTAGGCATTTAATGCACTGTCATTTTTATTTTACAAATGATGAATTCAAATCTAATTAAAACCTGTCATCTGCAATTTTAAAAAACTTTAGTATTAAGAGTTAGCTATACAGTACAGTACAGTATATATGTTTTTCAAATTTTGTAAACAAATATTTATGTATAGTACAGTTTTCTACCCCTTACAGTACTTTTCAACATATTTTCATCAATAGTTTTTTTGGTTAATGATAAAGGTTTTTGCACTTCATGTAACTGATAAGTAATTTACTTTCAGTATCAATATCGATATTCACAAAATGAATTTTATAAATTTTGAAGGTAAGATATTTATCTTTACTGGTGTCTTACACAGCCTCTAGGAATATTACTTAACCATGAGTGAATAAGAACTGTAATCATAAATAATCAGTTCAGAGAGTAAACTAAACATGACTCTCACTCTTCAGTCCATTCAATGAACCTTTATTTGTTGGTATTCGAGCATTAGAATGTGAGAAATGGATAAGTCCATTCAGCCAGCGTATCACGGACGATCGTATGCTTTCAGTTCCCGACACACACGGACTATTGTTTCCAGTATAAATGCCTTGTAATGGCGTGTCTCCTTCACCTTCGTTTAACATGGGGTCCCGTTCACCATGACAGTGGGTGGCAGGAACGTCTTCATTGTCTGCCGCCGAGGGACAGAAGTTGACTCCACGCTGTATATCTTCCAGCGGTATTGTCGGGACTGACGATGAGGGTGATGCAGCTTTGGTGATGTTTTGTAACGCTGGCACTTCTAAACGAACACCAGGATGGTGCAACTCATCAAGACTGACACTCTGATGCACTATATTAGGAGCACTTTCTTGCCTTGGGGGGCAAAGCAGACTGCCTCGTGTAGTGTTATCTACGCTGGAAGTGCGGAGATTGTTGCTAAAACGTCGACGGTAGGAAAAGATGTCTGAACGTGGGGAGTCTCTCGGTTCATCGTGGTGTAACTGTGGCAGCCCACCATTTAGATCTCCTGGGTCTTCTATGCTTCTACATAAAAAAAAAAAAATATATATATATATATATATATATATATATATATATATATATATATATATATATATATATATATATATATATATATATATATATATATATATATATATATATATATATATATATATATATATATATATATATATATATATATATATATATATATATATATATATAGCATTTCATTATACAAGAATAGGTAAAGCAATAAAGTACTATGTTGTTAAAGAAAAGAATCTATTTGTAAATCACTCATTTCTCTATTTATATGATATTTATTTTAAACAATTAACACTCATTAACTTTCTAACAATCTGTAAAAGATAATATTTCAAGTATACAGTACCACAGATCAAAGCACATAATAATACTGTACTAAACCCCAGAATTAATGCCTGACACAAATTACAACAAACTCTACAAATATTTTAGTTACCCACTACTGTACTGTAATAAAATGTGAGAAAAGAAAATTACACTTCAAATGAGGGGGAGACTTAAGCAGGTGTGATATAGATCAAGTGAAGCTGTTGTGTAGAGGTTGAAGTGGGACATAAATCAAGTAAAGCTGTTCTGTAGAGGTTGAAGTGGGACATAAATCAAGTGAAGCTGTTCTGTAGAGGTTGAAGTGTGTTATATGTGACACAAACGTATACTGTAAGTTGGTTGGTGAGACTGTAAGGAAGGAGTCTAGTTAGGAACTTAGCCTTTGGGGAGTAATTACACCCAAACACAGTCACGCTGGTCATGAACTTTGCTAGAGAGGAAGATATGTTTGGTTCAGACACTCGTGAGAAGGCTGTTATCCTACCAAAGGGTGTTGCCCTACCAAACATCACAGGTTTCCCCAGATTCCATTTTCCTCCTGTATTAACACTGGTTAGAACAACCGCCCGAATGGCTACTAAGCTGATAAGTGGTGAAATGATTAAAGAAATTAAATAAAAATAAAAAACACCAAAATTTCAATCTGATAAACTATTTGGGTCACCTAAAGATTCTTTCCACTCCTAGCTTATTTCACCTAAAGGCTAACAACCTAATGTTGACCTGACCTGACCTGACCTAACCTCACCCCCAAATAGTGTTAGGGTGGTTAATCTATAGGTGAAATAACCTGGGGTTTAGAATCTTCATGTAATCCAAATATTCTTATTTTCTTACCTCAAAAGCTTATCACTTAAGTAATCAATTGCCTATAAAACTTGGGAGAAAAAACTGACTGGCATAACATACATATACTGTAGCTATTAGGTAAGAATGAGAGGTCGGGAAATTACTTTTCTAACATTATTTCCAAGGGTTTATAATATCTAATTACCATTTACCTCTTGAACAATGTTTACAGTGCATCACTATATCAACAAGAGAACAATGAGCTCACCTGTGAATGCTTGATGTTCGGCAGCCTAGTGAAGACAATCTAGGGCTGCGGCGTCTTGTCTCTGGCTCAAATTCGTTGAGTTGAAGCAGAGGCGGTGAGACAGACTCGATATATTCTCTACGCTGGATGGCCTTAGGTGTGGCAGAATTGAGCCAGTAGGTCAGGACTTCACCCTTACCCTTCATGTTGACTAGTCCACGCTCCTCCATCACATACCCACCAAGTTTTTCCAGTGCATCATGACATGACTTAGATATATGGATTCTCAGTGGCTCCCCATTACTATTTGTGATAAATAACAAAAATGAATTTTACTGAAAAAGTTTGGACTGTAACTGAAATAACAGTAGTCATATCACACATTATCAAGAGAGGAATCATTGTATACAGTATTGTAGTTTCCAATTCTTAAAGTACATTTAACTCTTATCACTTATTATAACAAATGTGAAGTGAGTGATTTCACATCAATTGTATATCATGACTCACCTCTCCATTCTTGAGGCAGTGTTTACAGTGTCCCCAAACAGACAGTATCTTGGCATGGTGAGGCCCACAACCCCAGCTATTACCGGGCCTGTATGAAGCCCAATACGTAACAGCAGCCTTCTATCAGGACGATGCCGAATGACAAATCTATTTTGAACCTTTAAAATGGAAAAATAAAAAAGAACAACATGATAGAAATTTTTCAAAATGTCATCTGATAATATATAAATATGAGAAACTTTTTAATATTTATGAATAAATCTTGTGAAAGCCTGAACCTGCTTAAATATGCTATCTTCACTTCCCATATACCTCTTCTCTTATTAGCTTCCAACAGTACTTGTCCATGATATTGATAATTGCAGGAAGGAAATAATCATGTCCAAGTAATTCTAGCATGAACTAACAAATACAACTGAGAGTAATCCTTTAGTTGGAGGATACAAAAGCTGACAGAAGAGAACAAAGAGAATTTTCTTTAGCAATCTGAAGAACACAACATTCTTTACCTATCTACCTGGCAGCCACAACAGCTAGAAGTAGTTTTAATGTACTGGGATAGATATTACAGTGGCTTGCTATCATCCAATCACTAGAATAAGACACATAAACATTACTCACTCCGTCCAGCAGTTCGAGGGCCATGGAAGCGATCTCTCCAGCATGTCTTCCCATATTAAGCTTGGGCAGACCAGATACTACCATATATGCATCACCAATGGTCTCCACCTTGTATACCTCATAGCCACGTATGATATTGTCAAACAGGGTGTACAGGTCATTAAGGAACTTTACCACCTGGTAAGTATAAAAGACAGTTAACATGTTTGCATGAAAAAATATGGGAGAAAAAAAGAGAAATGGTGAGTGAATTATCTGGTCATTAACAGGTATGGGTGATACAATATATCCCTGATAAGCAAGATTTCAATGAATCAGATATCCTGATAAAATGGACTCTACCAAGTACTTCTGTACTTACTGGAGAAAATCAGTTACAGTAATTTTAAAATTTTATGGTTTTCATAAAATTACAGTAGTCACATCTACAAAGGTGTTGGTTGTAGTCATACATTTCTATTACATTTACTCTATTTCAAGAACATGAAGTAGTCTACAATAAAAGGTGAAGAGAACTGACCTCATAAGCCGTGCTTTCTGCAGACAAGGAAGTGAACCCCACAATGTCACTGAAGTATATGGTGACAGAGTCAAAACCTTGAGGCTCTACAGCCATGCCCTTTGTTAAACTTGCTGCTACAGACCTGCAACATTAACTCTTATCTAGATTCACATCAATTAATTTATGAGAAATATATTATGAAGAATAATATATATGTGTGTGTGTGTGTGTAAAGTTCTACGAATAAACAATGGCAATCTCCACGGTGGCACAAGTGTAATATAAGTATGGGATTACAACAGTTCTTAATTACACTAATATTAACCCCTAAGCTTTGGTTCATGTCATATAACAGATTCCTATAGTACAGTATTTTGCAGTACTGTACATTATAAATTGTCATGTGGGCCAGGCAAGATTATGTTGCCAAGTGGGCATTTATCTTTCATTTGCTCTTGCATGTGAGCCTCCCAGCATCCCTTCTCTGTAGTGTCTAAGTTTTTGTGATGTATGAACCTAGTTCTTCGACTTAATACAATTCACCATGAGTTTCTTCCCCCAAGCACATATGTAGTAGGGGTCTTGACCATCAACAGATTTGAGATCAATTACTGGAGGCAGTAATAATACTGTAATTGTAAATAATGTGCATGTGTGGGTGGGTGGAGGAGAGTGTATGCCTACTGTAGTCCAGAGCAGGGAGGGGGGGTTAAAAGAACACCAAATTATATCAAGGTTTTGATTTAAAATGATGGTAACTAACGATGGCAACATTCGATGAAGGAGGTCCTCAGTTTTGCGCTGTTCGTCTTTGAGTTGCTGCGTGCGGTTGCCGACGAGTTCCTCGAGGTTTTTGCTGTATTGTTCCATCATCTGCATCATGTGGTCCATCAAGTTACCCTTCCGACTGAAAAGAAGAACCACTAGTTATTCTTAAGATTTGGAATGATGACCCAAATGTTACCCTTAGGATTGAAACTGAATAAAAAATATTGCTAAACACTCACTCTTTACTCTCTCTACATTATTATAACAGACGTGTTGTGATCTATAAATTATCTTTTTTGTTGTTGCTCACCCAAGTTTTACTCAATTCCTCAAAATATGATGTAATTCAGTGTGTTTACTGTCATCCTCTTGTGTCCTGTTTGTGCATCTCTTTACTTTCTGCCTGTTATTATTAGTAAATTGTGCTATTATGGCCAATATACCATTAGTTTTACCCATTTCTTTCACTTTTTATTATTAGTATTATTATTATTAAAAACTTTACAGACCTTTTATCTTTCATGTTCTTGAGTTTCCCCTTAAGCGTACGGAAATTTGGTCTGTCGGCAGGTTTTTCTTCCCAGGCTGCTTGCATAGCCTCGCGTACAGACTCATCGGAACCATAAGGCATGCCCACTATCTTGTTGAGGTCAGGCCGATATGGAGGGCCAGTCACTGTTGAGCCATCCTTCAGTTTCCTGATAATATCTAAAAGGAAAAAAAATATATATATATATATATACAGTATCAGGGAACAAAAACAAGTGGTCAGATAAGTTCAAGTTCCTGATAACCAACTTCAATTTTTTTAAACCTTCAGGAAAAGAGGAAGCAATGCATATATTTTTGTAATTACTGTAGGGGCAAGGTACACTGGTGCATGGTACTATAGATGATGTTACAATTTTAGAAACCACGACCTTGACCTTTGACCCAATTACCACATAAATGATAAGGGTTGTCCTAAAACAACATTTCTTCATTTATCAACTTTAACCCTTTCATTCTTGAAGGGTTAAAACATCATCCTCAAAGGGTTAACGCATCACACTCAAAGGGTTAAGCCATCATACTCGAAGGGTTAAATCCTTATTCACAAAGGGTTAAAATCAAGTTCATTTCCATTCCCTGGTATAGTACCGTACACATAAAAATCCTCCAACAATAAACTCAACAATCTTAAATTATTCCATCTCTGCTCTTACACACAGCAATCGGGATCTGATCATTATATTTTCATCTCAAAATTTCCTTCTCCCATATCTTTGCCAATTCATTCCTTACACATACTGCAGAGAAAACCCCAAACCATTTCTCATGTCTATTTCTGTTTGTCCTTATATCATTCCTATACAGAGTTACAACCACAGATTTATCTTTTTAGTGTCAATCATATAAGCAATCTCTTGCCTCAACTCCACTCATATCACCCACAGACCATAGCATAATATCCCTAACAACTGCACCAGCACAATACAGCTATACAATCTGTCTCACTAATTTGTACTGTGATCCCAATACAACATAAAACTAGTTAGATGTACCAAACACCTCTGGCATTTTACTGTACTTACACTGGGAGGAATCATGAATAAGTGGTTAATACAGTACATGTAATGTTCTAAATTTACACCTAAGCATAAGAGATTTAAATACAGTAATGGTCATCTAGCACTCAAATTTACTGAGGTGTGGGTAAATGTAACAAGTAAATTTATGAGTAGTTTTTAAAAATGTATATATCTGTATAGAAAGATCAATACGAGTATCTGTTTAGTAAAACTGTTATAGCAGTTTGCATTGACTTAGCATGCACAGTATACAGACAATGGAGGTATATGATATACAGAGAATATGATATATACAGACAGTTGCAGGTATACTAACAACATACTTTAATAGAAATCTGTGGAGCTGCAGAAGGACGAAAATAAAACAGGAAAACTGAGACGGATACATCTGGAGATTTAAAACATTTCATGAGCTGTAATTACTGACCTGAAGCCACGTCTGTATCAGGTTCATATGTGTCATACGGCCCTTGGCGGCCAATTATTTCATGAAGTATTATAGCAAAGGAGTAAACATCTCCTTCCTTGGTTCCTGGCACCTCTATGCCAGCACGAAGAAGTTCTGGAGCTCTCCACAGCATGTCTGAGAGATGGGATGAATACATATAAGTAACTGAAAGACATAATACCAAACAAAGCAAAAAAGCATAATAAAAAGTCTTGTCCAATGCAAAATACTTGTGAATTATACTGTAATAAGGGGAGTCTAATACAGGCATTTAATAGATTCTAAATCATTACCATGAGGTGTCTGTGCTACAACAATGTTTTTGTTCCAACAAACCCAATATTACTAATGACTTCCCTGAATAGTACGATAACCTGCACTTGTGGTCCTGGGTACTGTACTGTACTATGAACACTCAGTACAGTATCACCAAACACTTCACCTGTCACTCTTCATGGACACAGGTGAATATAACCAGTGGGAAGAAAGTTGTTCTCCTACAGCCATGTTTCTGTCATCTTTTGTACACCACTGCATGGCCTGTAGCTACTGAAGAGGACTACACCTGAGGCTAAATCTCCAATCACCTATGTCATTTATGATGCCAAGCTGTGCAGGTAATTAACAATATATAATTTTCTTTAAACTACAGAGTGTGACTGCATAACTTCGTTTACAATAAGAATAGGAAATGAAGAATCAGTAAAAAAGTGTTAATTCAGTTGTGGCAGTTAGAAGAGAAATGGACGACTAACAGAGTAGTTTAAGGTGGGGGAGGCACTGGAGAGGAGAGGGAGAGACATCTAGGAAACAATGACAGACATCTATATTCAGAGAACACGGTGTTGAGTGGTTTGTAGAGTAGGAAGCGCTGCTGATGAGTGATGTTTGGGTACGAGCAGTAACGAGAATAAAACAAACAGAATCTTGGGGGACTGTGCTGTGAGGGTAACTACAGCAGGAGGAAAGAATGACGTTGTATGAGGGAAGAGTTGGTTATGGTTATCGTGAGACATCTGGGGAAAAAACTAGTAAAAAATAGTCATCGTAAACTTTATTGTTACCGATCTTATTATGTGACGGTTAGATTGTACACTGTGTATCTGAAGTAACTGTCTCTATAATTGTATTCTCTATAAACCCTACTGGACGATGAAAAGTCAACACAATACATACGCCGGTCAAATTGGTCGTGGTCTTCCCTCTCAAGATTACGAAGGCTTTCACAACGCAGGTCATGGAGGCCATAGTCAGTGATCTGGAGAACCCATCTGCTATTCACCACACAGTTGGAGGACTTTAGATTACCATGAGGACCTAAATGTGAATGTAAGAATATCATCCCCTGGAAAAAAAAAAAGGATTCAGCAACAGAGAAACATTTAACAAAGATATTTCTACAATCAATAGGTACAGATATTATACTTATTTCTGATGGTTTAAGATTTTAATGTATAAAATATGAATGATAATTATACTCTCTAAGTGACTCAATGATGTGGATTAATTGATAAAAGGACAAAAATATCTATCTGTCAATATACGCATACACAAAACCACACGTTATGACCGAGTGGTTTAGAAAACATATGAAAGCTTTATAGCTGTGTAGTATCACCCTATGAAATGATAACATGATGATGAAAAGTAATGATATTTACATTAGTTAAAGGAAATGTAATTTAAACTTTCCCTGCAGCACTGACTACGCCTCCTCTCTCTCATCCATGCTTGATCTTCCCATTATCGGAAGCTTGGATCTTCCCTTGAGTTATGTTGTGTTTCAACTTACCCTTAAAAGGTCATGAACAAGGGAGGATATGAAGAGACAATCCAGTTTGATGTCTTCCAGGGCAAGTATATCAAGTAGTGATCCTCTGGCACAGTACTCTGTTACTAGTGTCACCTTACTGTGTTCCCCATGTGCTGCTCTCCTCAGTTCAACATATGCTCCAATAAAGGAACAAACATTGTCTTGTTTCATTTCCCGCATATTTCTGGAGGAGAGGGCAATGATATAAGTTATTTCTTACTAAGTATGCTCGGGCTAGTGTACAGGGAATGAACCCTGTCCTCGACTATGGCTTGTAAATAAACCCATAATCCTTTCCTTGTGAGACAAATACTCCACCACTCAGTTATGGTAAATATTTAAGGATTTCAGACACATTTAAATAATGTATATATAAAGCAGGGCAGAGAGGCTGGGATTACAACACTCCTCTGGGAAAATTTATACTGACTGAGAGAGAAACTTAACCGATATAGAAAAGTACATGTGAATCATAAGAAAATTATTTTAATGAATAATAAAAAATAGCAAAAAGAATACATATTGATTTTATTTGACTAAAAAAAAAGAGAGAAAAAAAAAAGAGAGTTGGGTTCTTATGTAATATGGTCAGCTGACAAAAGCTAACCTCATTTCTATCATAGTATTACGAGTGAGTTCTGGTCTCCTCCGGTTCAGTGGCATGGACTTAAGACAGACCACTGTGCCTTTGTAGTTACCAAGGTATTGGTACCACTGGCCATGAACGTCATACGAAACAGCACTTGCAAGACTTGTCTGTAAATGAAAAAATTGGGATGGCCATTATTCATCAGTTCTGTTACAATGGTACATTATATCTAATATGTCACTGAGGATCTTACTGCTGATGATGACCACACAGATGGTGATGGAAGTGCTCCAACTTTACAGCTTTTGGGGGGAAAATTTTGTGTCTTATATAATAAGTAATTGTATCAAAAATTAATTTGTAAAGTTCTTTATCTTTTATCAATATAAAAACTAAGATTTAACTTTCCATTACATTATGTTACAGACTACAGTACATTACTATAAAACAATTCATTTAAATATCCAATTAAGTTATCCATTAAATCACAAAAATAATAGCAAATTACAGTTCTGTACTGCATAGAAAATTTTAGAAACTTTTGACCATAATAAGTAAATTAATACATTATTTACTACAAGAGGTCACAGTAAGCCACAGTGACAGTATCAACTAATGTCCTCACCCTTTTCATACATGGATGCTAAATAGTGTAAAAAGTGGTTAATCAACTACAAACATGAATTCATTACTGTTAAAATCTGTATACACAAACTCCTTCATTAACATCCAAACAAATAACATCTCATACACTGATTAATTAAAATCATTGTGCATTATATAAATTAATCCTCAACAATGTTACAATAACACTCGTTCTATTTACATGTATAAACAATTAAGCTAATCCAACACACACCCAGACAGAAAAATTATTTTTTACAGAGAGCAAAATTTCCACACAGACAGAACGTAGATTTCAACGTTTAAGCAAGCAACTCATTGGACACAGGGAGATAAATAAGGGGGATCCAGGACTAGTTAACACTTAGAGAATGATGGTTTAAACAGTATAATGCTTAAAAGACAATGGTTTAAACTATAATGCTTTGAGAATGATCAATTAAATTATACAAGGTTTTGAGGATGATGGTTTAAATTTTAAGGTTTTGAGGATGATGGTTTAAACTACTGTATACGGTTCTTGAAGAGGATGATTTAAGCTAAAATGCTCTTAGAACAATGGTGTAAACTATCATGCTTCAAAGACAATTGTTTAAACTACAGTACAGTATACAGTATTGGTTTTGAGAACGATGGTTTAAACTATACTGTAATGCTATTGCTTCAAAGGATTATATAGCTAGTAGCTTAAACCAATGTCTTAAAGGTTTATAGCTTGAAAGGAGGATGACAGCATAAACAATTGTCTTCAAAGGGCTGTTACTGTATCCTCTTGATGTATGCATTAAAGCAAACAGATCAATGACGATATCATGAAATAAAAATATCAGGAATTAAAGTGATGACCTTCTCCTTAACGTCTACTGCCAATTATCTCAAGACAATATAGTACATGGATCCGCCCTTGATGTATACTGGGTCAATAATAATGATACAATACACATGTTAAAATCCTGTTCATTTATCACCTATACAGTATACAGTAGAACGTCGATTAAAGCGATTCAATTTAGGATTATTGACTTAAAGCGACACCCACAATTAAGGACAATACTTTAATTTAGAGCGAATCTTTCCTATTCTGCGTGAGTCAATCTGGACCATCATATTTAAAATTTTGCGCCTAATGTTTCTCTGGGCACGCTACACTGTCCTAAGGGCAAAGCTGTACTGAACATGTACAGTACTCAAAATAATGTACTAAATGATTACTAAAATTTTTGTCTAGTGCAAACTATAGCATGTTTATATTCAAATTAATCACTTTTACTTTTACTTTTATCCTCTTCACCACTGATTAGCTCGTTAGCCATTTGGGCGATCGGTCACGTCTTATAAGAATTCCAGCAATGTAAATTATATTCTCCCCGGTCACTTCTGTGACATTTTATAAGTAAAAAACATAAACTCAAGCTAAAGGACATAAATAAACAAATAAATACTTCACTAGACCTTCGGCGCCAACTGTCAAACATGTCACTCGGCCATTTTTTTAAACACTCGGGGCAGCAAGCCCGAAGAGCAATCCCGAATGTCGGGTTACTGTTTGGTAACCCGTCAAATGGTTTCGTCAAACTTGAATATCAATCCCGAACATCGGGTTACTACAGTATTTAGTAACCCGAACGCCGCAACTCGAGAGGGTTGGTACGCCTTATCCAAGATAAATATAAACAAACCAGGTCGATCTGCACGCCAAAATTGAAGCAGAAACATGAGTTGTGGAGATAAAAGTTCGTCTTCAAGGGAGAAGGCAGACATCACCACCAATTATGCCAGCGTCTGCACCAGCAGGAACACTTAGATCAACTGATCCAACATAAGGATCACCCGTGTCACCAACAGCAGCATCAACATCCAGTCATGGGGGGAAGAGAAGGAAGCAGGTGAACAAGAGGAATGAATGCTTCATTGCCATTATTAAGGACAGTACACAAGAACTGAATGGTGCTATATTGGAGGCTTTAAAGGCCTTCACTAGTATGTACAGTACATTATCAGCCCAATCTGTGCGTAATGTATTTAGAGCAAGCATTAGAGTTGTTGACCAGTGGCATATGTCAAGAGTGCAGCCATAATTCCACCTCTGGCAATCAAGTTAAATTATGGAGACTTTGCCATCAGTGTCATAATTGATAATGTATAAACTGTGATTTTTTTCTCTCTCTGTTTACTATTTTTTCTTAGGCACTTAATGGAGAATATGAAATATTTTTTGTTCCAACATTATGTTTTTTTTTTCTTTTGTGAAAAATAATAGATTCTTTCAACTTAATTTGTTATATAATGTCAGATACAATAAACAGTACTGTGATACTGTGTATCGTACACTCATACTTATTGGAAAAATTTAATTGTACTGTACTTTCTTTATCTCTGTTTACTGTTTTATTTTTGCACTTAATGGAGATGTGAAATCATATTTTGTATGATCAAACATTTGTTATGATTTTTTGTTCTTTTACTTTTTGTGAACCAAAATAGATTCAACATATATTTTTGCTAGAATTTCATATACAATATACTGTGCATTATATACTACTCATACTTATTGGGGAATTTTATCATTCTTTTATTTCACATTTCTTTTGTACTTAAATTACAATTTAAATACAGGTACAGTACAGCACTTCTAAAATCTTTCAAGAATGATAATTGCTATAACTGTACAGGTATTTGCAATTTCAAACTAAGTATGATTACTATTAATTTATATACAGGACTGTACAGGTACTGTGATAAAATTAGTTTTACTGCTTGTTCTTATTTAGAGGAACTAAAATTGTTTATGGATTTCTGACACAGTATACTGTAGTACTTTGAAGCCTTTAAAAATGTGTACATTTATTATTTCAAGCAAAATACTAAAACTGTTTGAATATAATTTTACATATACATATACTGTAATGTACTGTGTAATCCCTTTTTAATTTTGTTTGAATTGAAATACTGTTTCAAGTTGTACTGTGATAATGTTTGGAGGAAATAAAATGTGTTATTTGAAGACAAAAAATTTATTGGAAAATAACCTTGAAAATAAAATCTATTCTCTAAAACAATTTTTTTACCAAACAAATAATGCTTCCATTTGCCCTTATACTTGCTCTACTTTCAAACAAACTACATTATACAAATCAAAACCATGTATCAATTACACCCCCTTCTACTTCGATGTAGTTCAGCTGTGTTCCCTCCAGGGCTTCTAATAGGGATATGAAACCCACCAATGCAGCCAAATACACCAGACATCTCTACAACGGTGTGAAATTCGTCTACAAGGTTTTGTATGTTGACTGATTCTGGAAAGTGGATGTAATCTTTTGCCGTAAGGGTTAAAATAGGTGCATAGGTTATGATAAACTTGTAAATTGATGACACAGAAATCTTAAAACATTCTGCCATACTAATTTGGAAGCTGCCACTGCTAAAGTATCTCAATGCAGTTAGGAGTTGCAGGTGTGTGGAATACTGCATCCAGTAGGATATATACTGTATATATTTTTTTTATTTACTGTTTTGTCTAACATTGCATATCTTGATTATAGTAAACAACAGGTCTCTTATGATGATATTTATTACTGTGTTACATTTTAAGTTCTCCAGAGAATCACCCTCCGTAAAGTGCAACATACAGGTAATATCCCCGTTAGCCGGAATAATTGGTGCAGAGCTCTTCCAGGGATGAGAGACTTCCAGATAACAAGAAGACTCTCAAACCATGAAAAATCCCACATCCCTAGAATTTTTCCAGTTATATGTAAAAGTTTTCGAGTTTAAACATTATTTCATCCTCGGAGACCCAGGAAAAAACTCGGAGAGTTTCAGGAAGTTTTCATAAAAATTTCCAGAAAATGTGCCTGATATTTAACCTAGAAATTTGCTCCAAGGCCTGGAATCTAATTTAAGAGAGTTTTCGGAATAAAAAAAAAAAAAAATTAAACCGATTTTCAACCTTGAAAACTTGTTCACAGACCCGGAATGTTGAAAATTTTCCCATAAAAACTCCAAGCCAATTTAAATTCTGAGTACGTATTAACGAATTCTGGGTAATGAAGATATTACTGCACTGTAATTATGGCCTGGTGGTATTATTATACATGGGAGGTGGGTTTAGGGGTTTTCATGGGTGCTGAGTACTGTATAGTGGTGATGTCCCCCCCCCCTCCTTTTTTTGCATCACTGCATAACATTGAATAAATACCCAATACACTTCTAAACAACTGCCCAAATCCAAGATTTAGAGTTTCCGTCTACAAAGATATATTTAGTCTATCCTAACCTAACCAAACTTTATCTAACCTAACCTAATTTTACCTAACCTGACCTGACCTGACCTGACCTAAGCTAACTTAACCCAATTATCTTGTAGACCGCATACAATAGTAACACCAGAACTTTTTGCCTCGTCCTTCTTGAAGGACAGCCTATACCTCTTGATGAACTCCTCCTCAGAGAGATAAGCAAAAGGATTTTGATGGTCTCTAATAACAATACCAGAATCCTATAATGTCAGCCTGAGGAAAAAAAAAAAAATTTAACATCT